TCGATTAATGAACGTCGATGCTTAAAAAACATAACATCAAAGTTTTGTTGCGAAGCTGGTACAAAAAAAAAACATGTAACCGGAGCCTTAACGAGCACGCCGCCCAGACTGCTTAGTGAGTGGCACTACCTCTTTGACCTCTTTCTCCATCCTGGAGACTGTCTCCAAACTACCGAAGAACTCAAGAGAAGGCGAGGAGCATTACAAAAGCAATAGCTACTTTTATCACGACGGATCTACGCCCTTATTCAGTAGTAAACAACAGGGGGTTTCGGTTTGTGGTGCGCACCATGGAGCCGCGCTATAAACTTCCTCACCAAAAATATTTAGCAGAAAAAGAAGTCCCCCGCCTCTACGAGGAAACCAAAGCAAGCATTCTGGAGTCCATGAAGAAGGCAACCGGGATAACGCTCACATGTGATGCGTGGACATCGGTTGCCACCAAATCCTTCGTTACTGTAACGGCGCATTTTGTTCTCGCGTCGGACAAGAACGGGTGGAAGTTGGTGAGTCATGTTCTTCAAACTCGAGAGATGAGTGAGAGTCAAAGTAGCACAATGTTGATATTTGCCCATCTGTATGGCAGCTTTTTTGTAATGTTATCATATGCCAGACTCATTAAGTTTCCATTAAATAAATTTGATGGAAGTAAAAATCTTCTCGTCTCGTCTTCCTCCGCTTATCCGGGTCCGGGTCGCGGGGGCAGCATCCCAACTAGGGAGCTCCAGGCCGTCCTCTCCCCGGCCTTGTCCACCAGCTCCTCCGGCAGGACCCCAAGGCGTTCCCGGACCAGATTGGAGATGTAACCTCTCCAACGTGTCCTGGGTCGACCCGGGGGCCTTCTGCCGGCAGGACATGCCCGAAACACCTCCCCGGGGAGGCGTCCAGGAGGCATCCTGACCAGATGCCCAAACCACCTCAACTGGCTCCTTTCGATCCGGAGGAGCAGCGGTTCTACTCCGAGTCCCTCCCGAATGTCCGAGCTCCTCACCCTATCTCTAAGGCTGAGCCCGGCCACCCTACGGAGGAAACTCATTTCGGCCGCTTGTATCCGCGATCTCGTTCTTTCGGTCATTACCCAAAGCTCATGACCATAGGTGAGGATTGGGACGTAGATCGACCGGTAAATCGAGAGCCTGGCTTTCTGGCTCAGCTCCCTCTTCCCCACGACAGATCGGCTCAGCGTCCGCATCACTGCAGACGCCGAACCAATCCGCCTGTCGATCTCCCGATCCCTCCTACCCTCACTCGTGAACAAGACCCCGAGATACTTAAACTCCTCCACTTGAGGTAGGACCTCTCCCCCGACCCGGAGGTGGCAAGCCACCCTTTTCCGGTCGAGAACCATGGTCTCAGATTTGGAGGTGCTGATCCTCATCCCAGCCGCTTCACATTCGGCCGCGAACCTACCCAGCAAGAGCTGAAGGTCAGAGCTGGATGAAGCTAGGAGGACCACATCATCCGCAAAAAGCAGAGACGAGATTCTCCTGCCACCAAACTCGACACACTCCACACCACGGCTGCGTCTAGAAATTCTGTCCATAAAAGTGATGAACAGAACCGGTGACAAAGGGCAGCCCTGGCGGAGTCCAACCCTCACTGGGAACAGGTCCGACTTACTACCGGCTATGCGGACCAAACTCACGCTCCTCTGGTAAAGGGACTGAATGGCCCTTAACAGAAAGCCACCCACCCCATACTCCTGGAGCGTCCCCCACAGGGTGCCCCTGGGGACACGGTCATAAGCCTTCTCCAAATCCACAAAACACATGTGGATTGGTTGGGCAAACTCCCATGCCCCCTCCATCACCCTTGCAAGGGTATAGAGCTGGTCCACAGTTCCACGGCCAGGACGAAAACCACATTGCTCCTCCTCTATCTGAGATTCAACTATCGATCGGACCCTCCTCTCCAGTACCTTGGAGTAGACCTTTCCAGGGAGGCTGAGGAGTGTGATCCCCCTATAGTTGGAACACACCCTCAGGTCACCCTTCTTAAAGATGGGGACCACCACCCCGGTCTGCCACTCCCTAGGAACTGCCCCCGATGACCACGCAATGTTGTAGAGACGTGTCAACCATGACAGCCCTACAACATCCATAGCCTTGAGATACCCAGGACGAACCTCATCCGCCCCCGGGGCTCCGCCGCTGTGTAGTTGTTTGACTACCTCAGCAACTTCTGCCCCCGAGATCGGACAGTCCATCCCCAGGCCTCCCAGCTCTGGTTCCTCCTCGGAATGCGCATTGGTGGGATTGAGGAGCTCCTCAAAGTATTCCTTCCACCGTCCGACTATAGCCTCAGTTGACGTCAGCAGCTCCCCATCCCCACTGTAAACAGTGTGAGCGAGTTGCTGCCTTCCTCTCCTGAGGCGCCGGACAGTTTGCCAGAACCTCTTTGGAGCCGATCGATAGTCTTTCTCCATGGCCTCACCAAACTCCTCCCACGCCCGAGATTTTGCCTCGGCAACTGCCACTGCTGCACCCCGCTTGGCTATCCGGTACCTGTCTGCTGCCTCCGGAGACCCACAGACCAGCCACGCCCTGTAGGCCTCCTTCTTCAGCCTGACGGCTCCCCGAACCTCTGGTGTCCACCAGCGGGTACGGGGGTTGCCACCACGACTGGCACCGGCCACCTTACGGCCACAGCTAGCAACAGCCGCCTCGACAATCGCAGAGTGGAACAAGGCCCACTCGGACTCAATGTCCCCCACTGCTCTCGGGACGTGGTCAAAGCTCTGCCGGAGGTGGGAGTTGAAGACCGTCTTGACAGGTTCTTCTGCCAGGCGTTCCCAGCAGACCCTCACTATGCGTTTGGGTCTGCCAGGTCTACGCGGCATGTTCCCTTGCCATCTGATCCAACTCACCACCAGGTGGTGATCAGTTGACAGCTCCGCCCCTCTCTTCACTCGGGTGTCCAAAACATACGGCCGCAGGTCAGATGATACGACTACAAAATCTATCATCGACCTGTGACCTAGGCTGCCCTGGTACCAAGTGTACCGGTGGGCATCCTTATGTTCGAACATGGTGTTCGTTATGGCCAAACTGCGGCTTGCACAGAAGTCCAATAACAAAACACCGCTCGAGTTCAGATTAGGTGGGCCGTTCCTCCCAATCACACCCCTCCAGGTCAAGCTGTCATTGCCCACATGAGCATTGAAGTCCCCCAGCAGGACAATGGAGTCCCCTGATGGAGCACTATCTAGCACTCGTCCCAGGGACTCCAAAAAGGGTGGGTACTCTGAACTGATATTTGGCCCATAAGCACAAACAACAGTCAGGACCCGTTCCCCGACCCGAAGGCGCAAGGAAGCTACCCTCTTGTCCCCCGGGGTAAACCCCAACACACAGGCAGAGTGTCTCGGAGCTAACAAAAAGCCAACCCCAGCCCTCCGCCTCTCACCCGGAGCAACTCCAGCAAAGTAGAGTGTCCAACCCCTCTCCAGGTCTCGGGTTCCAGAGCCAATGCAATGTGTCGAGGTGAGTCCGACTATATCTAGCCGGTACCGCTCAACCTCTGCCACAAGCTCCGGCTCCTTCCCCGCCAGCGAGGTGACGTTCCATGTCCCAAAAACTAGTTTTCTTGTCCGGGGATTGGACCGCCAAGGCTCCCGCCTTGGTCTGCCACCCGATTCGCATTGCACCGGACCCTTCATGTTCCTCCTGCGGGTGGTGGGTCCACAGTTGGACGAGCCCATGTATCCGGTTCGGGCTGGGCCCGGCCAGGCCCCATGGGCGAAAGCCCGGCCACCAGGCGCTCGCTCACGGGCCCCAACCCCAGGCCTGGCTCCAGGGTGGGACCCCGGTAACCCTCCGGGCCGGGTACTCCGACTCTTCATTTTAACCGCCATGAAAGATCCTTCGAACCTTTCTTTGTCTCACCCTTCACCTAAGACCAATTTGTCATGGGAGACCCTACCAGGGGCACTAAGTGCCCCAGACAACATAGCTCCTAGGATCATTAGGGCACTCAAACTCCTCCACCACGATAAGGTGACGGTTCAAGGAGGAGAAGTAAAACTGTAAGTAAAAATCTTGTTTACTTTAATTAATTATCTCATTAAATCCAGGGCTTGCCTGTTTAAGTGTTTCCCAACAATGGAGGGGACACTAATTAAGTAAAGCTTTCCCTGATCGAAGTTAAGTTGGTCAAAGTGCAAATATTTACACGTCACACAGTCATAAAATGAGAATTTGTCTTTGAAAAATTGTTAAATGTTAAAAAATGTATTTACTTACAGAGAGTAGTTTTAGAGAAACTGAATTAATTGATAGGTTATTTATTTACAAATCTAGATAAAGAAGAAGACAATCTTGTATGAAAAAAGCATTAAAAATGTCAATAATCAAAGAATTGTGGCACCAGTAATCGAATCAAACCAAAAGTCCTTATGATCGAAGAATCGAAGCTCCCATAATCAAATAGAATCGTGAAGTACCTTTTTTGGAACACCCCTAGGTTTGGGTGAGAGGCGTGCAGGCACTGAGGAAGAGACCTCATTCGACACGCAGTTCCCCCCCCCCCCCACACACACACACACACACACATACACACACACACAGCCACACCGCCGCCCCACTCAGGGAGGAAAACACGTGAGGAACAGAAACCTCACTCGACACGCGGTACACCCCCTTAACCACAGCCCCCGAACGCGACTCACACACATCCACTCCCACCCCCATACACGTTTCAAGCCGCAGCGCTTTGAGGCACTGGGCCTCGTCCGACAAACCACCACCAACATACCAGGAAACCCGACAGTAGCATCTAGCACCTCCCCAATCACCGTACTGAGCTCCCTGGACACCGCGAACGAGGCCCACTCAGAGCGAAGTTGAGCTGTCGTCTTACCGGGCCCGTTCAGGCCGTCGGCCCGCCGACCACCCAACCGACCCGGTACCACCCAGTCAGTCACTCTCTGTTCCACCTACTCCTGTCTAAAATGGTTTTATGTTACCAACACACACATATGCGACACGGCTCCACACACTCACCTCTCCCGCGCGCAGCTCAGCACGAACTAAGGCAAACGGGGCCAATACGGAAATGACATCCAGTAGAGTAAGAAAATAAAAGCTTTCCCACCAAAATAAAATGCTGTTCGTATATCAGGAAAATAAATGCACACAGAAAGTAAGAACGGGTTTTGGACGGAATATAAAATTGCTTCTCTTTTACACACCTGTTACATTCACCCCTCCTAAGTTACACCAAAATCTAAGCCAACCCCACGAATCAAGTAATGGGAAATTGGGAAATTACCAAAAGACAGGCACAAAGCTGCTATAACCACAAACTTTAGCTAGAAAGCCACCAGCGAAGCAGATTCAGAATGGACGAGAGGTTGATCAGACCTCTGTCCTTCTCAGATAAATATGATGCCATTTACACCATACATGTCTCTGCCACTACCCATGTGTCCAAGTCTAAACAACAAAAAAGTTAGAACCAAGTTAGAGATGACTGACATTTTTAACTCACAGAGTGTGCTGAGATAGTGAAATCATGAGGACTTTAAACAATGGATTCAATGAGTTGGTTCACTCTTTTACCGACCCTGCCCACCACGGTCCTTTCAACCTCTTCAGTATGCTGGTGAAGGTTCTCGGTCATCCAGGTCAGGGTAATCCAAAGGGTTCAAATGAAGGCAACTGGACTTCATGGGTTTCTTGAAGACGTTTCACTTCTCATCCACGGAGCTTAGTCAATTCTAACTGGAATATGGGAGAGTCAAGCTTATAAACTGTATTGTTATAAAACAGTATGCTAACAACTGCAATGGTGGCGCAGTTGTTAGCACTGTTGCCTCACAGCAAGAAGGTTGCAGGTTCGAAACTCGGCTGTGGTCTTTCTGCGTGGAGTTGCATGTTCTCCCCATGCATGCGTGGGTTTCCTCCGGGTACTCCGGTTTTCCCTACAGATCACAACATGCCCTACAAGTTAAAAATTGTACGTCGCTTTGGATAAAAGCGTCTGCCAAATAAATAAACATAAACATAAACTGTATTGGTAGCCGGACTCCGTTCCGTGTTTAAAATGTGCTTCCCCAACCGCTCCGCACGGCGTTCAGCACTCATAACAAGTGGATTCCCTGCGCTTTGCTCATAAAACAGAAGACCTGCAGGCAGCCTCTGTGAGATTAAACATCTTGATACTGGAGCTACTACAGTTGTAAACATGTGCTCCATCCCTGTGTGTGTGTGTGTGTGTTCAATGTAGTTCAATTGAGAAGGGGGTAAGGGGGGTGCGGTCTATAACTGCCTCAGTGCCGCTCTCTCGGTCCGTCAGGCGATTCCTCTTTCAGAAGCGTTTTTCTAACAGGAAGTGTGGATGAAATATGTCTCCACCATCGACAGATATACTGGACAATTCATGTCCATAGGCTCCAATTATACGTTTTTGTGCCAAAATGGGAGGTTCCCACCACCGCTATTTTGACCGTGTCACAGGTTCCGTCAAGCCCAGACAATTCCGAAAAAGGGAAAAGAGGTGGAGACGAGAGCTGTAGGCTGGGATCAAATGACGGCACCTGTCGAACTGAAGCAATGTAGCTACAAGCTAACCCAAAGCTAACGCGGAGGTGGGAGCTAAGCTAACGGAGGTAGCTACCTAGCTACAACTGGAGCTAACGGTGCACAACACCGGAGCTTCTGAGACACAGATGCGCCATACTGCCGCTGGGGACAACCGGGTGGAAAACATTGGTTTCCATCCGAGAGATGCACAAGTTGGCAGCCCGCGCAGCAGACAGGCGTCGCTGCGATCCGAGATGCACCGAGCTGCCGCTGAGGGGATGGGACCATACCGATAGTCGGAACCCAGCTCCACCAACATGTCATATTTCAACTCATTTTCAAAAATGCAGCATTATGTTAAATGCACTGGGTTTTACCCTATAACATTTAAATGTCATGGTTAAACAGTACATGTTAAAATCTAAGCTCAGCAGTGACCTAAAATACATAAATATAATTTTACTTACCAAAACAAATGAAGTGGAGACTCCTTAAACGCTCTATTAGTGCAATTAATACCACAGCAAGTCATTTTGTCCAACAATTGCACAAATAATATCCAAAAAGAATACACAAACAGCACAGCTAATGGTCTAAGTTGAGAGACTGAAAATGGCGGAACAGTTTTCAGGCGAGGCTGAGGCCTTCCCCCGGAGCTAGCTCTGCGGTTACGTGGGTCTGATGCTCATTAATTATTCAGAAAAGTCAATGAGGATTTGCTCGTTTCTGACACCAGCCCCTAGCGGACGAGGATGGAATTGCAATTTTTGTCACTTCCTGTTTTGCTTCATATCCAGACCCGAATTATGGGGGCTTGGTCTCCACCCATGCCTCGACTCTCACATTAAGCTATATGCTGTTTCCGTTAACAACAAACCATACTACTTTACTGTTCAAAAGTAGCAGCGTGCGTTAACATTAAGCTAGTTTTCACAGGTCTGATCTATAAATGCCTTCTTCCTAAGGTTCCTTTCTTCCACCTTTTCTCTCCCTGTCGTTTTCTTTTACTCGTGAGAGCAGCGCACCGCACAGAAACCGGCTCCTTCGTACACGGGGGGGAAAAACAACAGTTCTGGTTTTTCAAAGTAAAGTACATTTTAGAGTTTTGTTATATTTAATTCAATCTAAACTGTGATTAGGGTTATTATACATGCACATATATAGACTATATATGTCTCGTTTTTACATTGTTTTAATGTATATCCCAAAAATTAATTCTGACGGTACGTTGTTTTAATTTATTTATTTTTATCCTTCTGAAGGTGTGGTGGCTTTTATTTTGTCGCCACAGCAAAATACACATAACGGAAACCCTGCATGATGTATTCACCCGAAAATGATCCTTGTCCCTTATTGTGTATTTGTACTGACCTACTGTAGATGTGATGATAGGCCCACTATGCCTGGAAGATACTTTTGGAGATCTCTTCTCTGCATTTTCAGTTGCTACTGTAGCGTACCCAAAGGTCAAGTTTACATCAAAAATGACCAGAAATTAACTTTTAATTTGCTGTCTGGCAAGAAAGCATTGCACAAGACCTTGTTACCGAACAAGGAAGCCATAATATCTCTGCTCAAGGTAGGGATGGGTACCTTTGACATTTGAATCGATCCGGTACTAATTCCCGGTACCTACGAGTCGATACCGGTACTTAACGGTACCAATTTTCGATACTTTTGAGTGTTTATTATTTTAATTCTCTTTTATAATTAAATATATATTTTTCTCAATATATATATATATATATATATATATATATATATATATATATATATATATATATAACCATATTTGATAAATATCACGATAAATAACATACAAGTTTGTATTTTAACATCGTCCTTGTAGTTTTATAAGTTGATAATTAAACTGAAGCAAACATCTTTACTGTGAACTAAATTTACTGTGTATCTTCATTCCTTTTGCCGTCCTTTTTCATTTGATTTTTCCTACTGGGAAGTTAGAATTTCCGAGGAGAAAGCGAACGCACCATTAGCTGGTAACAACGGTGGCAATGGAAGCTAACATATCAAGCTAACGTTATCTTTAACAGTTTATTTAGCTGCTGGAGCAGATTAAAACGATGATGCCTCAAACTTAGATCGTTGTCGCTGGTTTTACCTTCATCCATTCACCCGTCGCATTTAGTAAAGTAAAGCCAAACTTTAGAGCGCGTTCATGTTCTTCTAGTCGGAAATTCGGAGTTCCGAGGAGAAAGCGAACGCACCATTAGCGAAACGGAAGCTAACAAATCAAGGTAACGTTATCTTAAACATTTTATTTACCTACTGGAGCAGATTAAGATGAGGATGTCTCACTTAGATCGTTGTCTGTCGCTAGTTTCATCACCCAGTTACTCATCACATTTAGTGAAGTGGACCCAAGCTTTAGCGTGCGTTTTTTCTACCATGCTTGCTCTGTTTACAACGGGCTCGCAGGGACCGGCAACATAACGCTCTTGCGCATGCGCAACTGTCTTGGCAGTACCGAAACGAGGCACCGTTTGAAATGACGTGAATCGGTGTTCGGTCGGTACTATGGAATTCGGTCGGTACCTTAAAAAGTACCGAATTCGGTACTCATCCCTAGCTCAAGGTCTCCTGCAGAAGACAAGACCTCCTCACTCTGAATAAAGTTCATCTTGCCTTAATCATGAATGACTTTTCATAATGTGATAATTGCAGATGTGTCATAATCATCTCTTGTTAAATCCCACAGTGTTTGAATAATGTGTGCATTAATCAATACCAGTACCAGAGGTCCACACCATCGGCAGTGTCCATCTCAACCTCCTGACCCCCTGGATCGCTACACGGGTGCCTAGACCGGCACAAATTGCGTCGGATGGTGTTTATATTTAGCTTATCAAACCATACAGCCAATATGATTTTACAACCCAGACTCCACAATCTCTCTCAGACATTCAAGAAAGATTTTGCTAAAACATCTAGCTCACATTCCATCATTTCATCCATCATGTGTGATCTACACAACCGTCATTTCATTCATACTTTGTCAGGTACAATCATTTAGTTTAGGAAAACAGTATTAAAATCATTTCTATAACTATTTTCTTGACTCTGTCTGAATTAATATGAAGTGTGTATGTTCCCTGAATAAGTCAAAGAACCTAAAGGAATATTAAATCAATCAAACACCAATCAGATTGATATTTCATATTTATAAGGAGCATCACAGCAGAGGAAGACAGAGTTAGTTCTCAGGCACCGAAGCAGCAGGAGTGAGGAAAATCAAACACCCACACAGCAGAACAGTCAGTAGCTATTCAAATCAGCAAACTGTAATCCCACTTAGCAAAATCTGCAGGCAGGGACCACGATGATAAGGAAGCCAGAGCCATGAGGAGAAACGGACCAGACCACAGCAATCCAGGAGACAGGAAACCCATAGGACGTCCAGAAGAACCAGAAAACACCCTCACAGATGGTGTCTGATAGAAAAGAACTAATTAAAAACACACAAGGACTATATGTACCCTATACACTCACCTAAAGTATTATTAGGAACACCTGTTCAACCTCTCCTTAATGCAATTATCTAACCAACCAATCGCATGGCAGCTGCTTCAGTGCATTTAGGGGTGTGGTCCTGGGCAAGACCATCTCCTGAACTCCAGACTGAAGGTCAGAATGGGAAAGAAAGGTGATTTAAGCTCAGCAAAAAAATTTACTTACGCCAAGTAGGTTTGTGATCTATAAAACATGGAGTACGCACAGCTGCACGCAGTCTCCGCTTCATAAATCAGAAACTATCAACAAATGTTCTCAGCTGCTTTTTAGTCACATCCCGCCCTCACCACGCCCACTTACTGCCATAAATAGTCGATGCTAAGTTCCTTGATGACCTCATGCATATACCAAGCCCCTACAATGCAGCTCAAAAATTGAGGCCAACCCGGAAGTACCAAAAATTGCAGTTCCACCCTCATCCACTAGGGGCTGGTGTCAGAAGCGAGCAAATCCTCATTGACTCCCATGTTAAAAATACCAATTTCACAGCAGAAATAAACATGTTTACAGCCTGGTACCAAAACATGTTTTTGGTTTAAATGATCTAGTTTACACTCATGACAACTCTGAGGGGGGTGAATTTTTTTCTCACTCTTCTGTTTAAGTGTATTAAAAGCCTAAAATTCTGTATAATTAATGAGCCTCAGACCCACGTGACCACAGAGCTAGCTCCGTGGAAAGGCCTCAGTAGAGCCTCGGCCTCGCCTGAAAACTGTTCCAGGATTTTGAGTCTCTGTGTTTGTGTGTTCTTGTTTGGATATTATTTGTACAATTGTTGGACAAAATGACTTGCTGTGGCATTAATTGCACTAAAAGAGCGTCCAAGGAGTCTCCACTTCATTTTTTTCGGTAAGTAAAATTATATTTATGTATTTTAGGTCACTGCCGTGCTGAGCTTAGATTTTAACATGTACTGTTTAACCATGAAATTTAAATGTAATAGGGTAAAACCCAGTGCATTTAACATAATGCTGCATTTTAGAAAATGGGTTGAAATATAACATGTTGGTGGAGCTGGGTTCCGACTATCGGCTTGTGGAGCTCTCGGGAGACCGATGTTTTCCACCCGTTTCTCCCCTCCCCGCAGCTCAGCGCATCTCTGTCTGATCGCGGCTTCTGTTTGCTGTGCGGCTGCCGGCTTTCAGCAGCTTTCGGGAGACCTCTGTGTTTCACCCGGTTTTGCCCAGCGGTCAGCCCAGCGTATCTCTAACTCAGAATTTCTGGTGTTGTGCACAGTTAACTCCGGTTATAGCTAGGTTGCTACCTCCGTTAGCTTAGCTCCCGCCTCGATGTTAGCTTTGGGTTAGCTTCAGGTTAGCTTCTAGCTAGTTCGACCGGGTGCCGTCAGTTGATCCCAGCCTTACAGCAACACCCTCAGCTCCACCTCTCTTCCCTTTTGTGGAATTGTCTGGGCTTGACGGAACCTGTGACATGGTCAAAATGGCGGTGGTGGCCACCTCCCATTTAGCCTCCTATTGGAGCCTATGGAAATTAATTGTCCAGTAAATATGTCGATGGCATATACATAAGCCGGCTTGTTGCAGCATTTCCATCACGACCGGAGATCAAGGAAGCGCCATTTCACAAGCAGAAATTCAGGTACTTGTGGGTGAGGTGGAGAAATGAAAGGAAGTGCTTTTGAAAAACAAATAAGAGGAAATCCATGGAGTGGCACAGCATTGCTGAAGCCGTCAATACTGAGTTCTTCAGAGAGATCTATGGCGGATATAAAAAAAGATCCGATCAGGATTTGATCCCCAGACTCCCGGGTGAAAGTCACGTGCGCTAACCAGTCAGCCAAACGGAGATCTCCCCTGTACAAGTAGCCAGGGCGCATGATCAATCGGGTCACAGTGACAGGACACACACTGTCAAAAACGCATGACATTCTGTCTCAATCTGTCCCCCTGCTGATGTTCTGCATTCCATATTCTGTGCTTCAGGCTGTGTGTGTGTGTGTGTGTGTGTGTGTGTACGCGCGGTCTTGTTCTGTGTGAAAATGAAGCGGTACAAGTGATAATGCTGCAGGATTTCATAACTGTATCCTTCTCAGCAGCAGCACTGCAGGTGCTCTCCATGTCCAGCATGTGCGTAAGCCAGGTCCTTAGTCAACTTAAAGTTGTGCACATTTTCCCACAAGTTTTCTTTTATAAATCCCAAAGTTTACATGGAAAGTTTATAACTGTAATGGAATGTTTACTGTGTGAAGGTCCTTGAGACGACTCTTGTCATGATTTGGTGCTTTATAAATAAACTTGAATTGAATTGAATTAATGTTATTGTGAATGACCTGAACAAGGGGGAGCATGTAGAGCTGCGGTCCGCAATTATTGCTGGGTTTCACTCACGTGACTCACGTAACTAGCGTGATGTCACAACCGTGCAAAATTTGAGGTGGGACCATGGAGCTTTTGGCCACGCGAGTGGACGAACAGATTAGTCACCTTTTTATGGGGACAGTGAGAGAAAGCCAGCTGTTTGACAGAGTGGTGAAAACACTGGCTGAGCGGGGCATCAAGTGGGACAAAAAGCAAGTCACATCAAAGCTAAAGGGCCTGAAAAAGAAATTTCATCAGTCTGACGTGTCTTCCGTCTGACGCTGAATGTGCAAACCTGTATGTCACATGCATGGGGGGGGGGGGGGGGGGGGGGGCACCCAGCGACCTCCCCTTATCCCATCTTGGTTTGAGAGGTGTCTGATGGCAGTTTATTCTAGCTTCAGCTTTGCTACCATGAATGCCAAAATCCTCCCCAGGCAGCCTTGACAAATCCCTTTTTGCAAATGCTATGGTCCTGTAAAAACAGCTTAAGAGTCCTTCCATAAGTTAAAGTTAAAGTCCCATTAGTTGTCACACACACTGATTTGTGTGCAAAATTTGTTCTCCGCATTTGACCCATCCCCTGGGGGAGCGGTGAACTGCAGACACAGACGCGTTCGGAAACCATTTGGTGGTTTAACTCCCCAATCCAACCCCTTAATGCTGAGTGTCAAGCAGGGAGGCATTGGGTCCCATTTTTTCAAAGTCTTTGGTATGACCCGACTAGGAATCGAACCCTGATCTCCCAGTCTCAGGGCGGACACTCTACCACTAGGTCACTGAGCCAGCTGAGCTGGCCACTGAGTTTTTCATAGACGCAAAACAAGTCCACCTGGTTGTCGCGACCTGGAGACGACTCGGGACTGACCTGGTCGTACTGCTGTTTCTCTACAAACTTCGGTACCGTGGGGTCCACGGACTCTCCGACATCTCGGATCCAAAAGAGTCTCCGACAACGGTACGTAGACACGACAAGATTGCCTCTGTGGAAGGACTCTTAGGGAGTCGGAGCTGGTTCAGCTTTATTCTGTAGGAACCGTATACAATGAAGGAACAAGTTGGCGTCAAGTCAGACACAAATCTAACCGGTATGCACTGCACACCGATCACCGGTGATCTAATCTGTGCAGAACTGCCACATCTCAAACACGACCATTGCTGCGCCCAAAAGTAACAGGAAAAACGTCACAAGATGATTCGGTAGTGTTAAAAGTGTAAATAACATTTTAAAACCACACTTAAATGCAGACTACACACAGCACTTGTAGTCTTTATGATGTAGAAATAGTTTAGTTTAATTTTATTGTTTTTTTTTATTTTTTGATTCCTATTTTCTTCTCGTGAGACTGGTGGGGCGGCGCCCTAGCGCCCCCTATGGACCAGCCACCACTGGTGACTTGGGCTTTGAGTTTAGTCTCCTTCAGGGACACTTAAGCCCTTTCGGTTGTTACTATTTACTCTTGTTTGATTCCCGTCCTAAAAGGGTTAAGCTAGGTTGTTCCATTCTGATGGAATATTCACTCACTGTTTTGTTCTGTTTGTTTTTAAGTCCAGTGGCACAAACTGGGTTAAATCCACAGCAACTTTCAAGATAAGTTTTTTATATTTTTTACTATAACTAAACTGTTGACTCGTCTTACTTATGTTACTGATCTCACATTCCTAGCGAGCCTAAAAAGGGGTCCATAACAGTTACTAACATTAGTTTTAACTGGGTTAAATACTGGCGGTGTTTACTCCGAACGCAGCTCCAAAACAAAACAAAATAAACCCACGATCCTCGGAGGAAAATTTAAAAATGTAAATCTGCTAAAGTCCTTGACAGAAAACTAATTGTTTGTGGTGATTTTGTTCCATTTCATGAACCTTGAGCTCAAAACCGATGTGAGAAGTGTCGTGTACGTGTTCCTGGGTGAATAATAAAAGACAATGAAAGCAGTTGTTTATAGTTAAACCCTGACAATTTATTTCTGAGCCACAGATGATTTAAGCATCTTGAATTACATGGATTTTACCCAACATGTCATGCAGCCAACTCACAACAGAGGACACACCATGGACATGGTCATCACGTATGGCCTGTCCACTGATGTGTCCTCTGTTGTCGACTTGGCAGTGTCCGATCACTATTGCGTATTTTTTAACATCACCAGCATTATCCCGTGTGCGCCCTCTGTGAGAACTGTAAGGAAGCGTCATCTAACCCCTGAAGTGGCTGCTGGTTTTCTTAAAGCTTTTAACAATATCTCTCCAACTAACGTCTCCGCCCTTTGTGATTTTATTATCAATGATTTTAACAGAAGACTTGAGTCAGCTCTTAACTTGCTTGCTCCACTCAAAACCAAAAACTTACAGTCAAATCATACATCACCTTGGAGAAATGAAAACCTAAAAAAACTAAAGACAAACTGCAGAGTGGCGGAGAGGAGATGCAGGAAAAACAAGATAATAAATCATCAGATATATTCACAACTACTAAAAACATACAACAATGCTGTAAGAAATTCAAGAAACACATATTTTTCCAAAATCCTCTCGGTCCATAAAAATAACCCTAAAAGTCTTTTCTCCACAATCAATAATATTCTCAACTCCAACTCAGAAAAACCCCTCAAAAACTCTCTGAGGAGTTTGCAGGCCACTTCAGAGGGAAGGTAGACTCCATCAGATGTAATATTTTATCCTCTCTACGTAACGTGGTTTTAGACACATCTGAGAGTGTGTGTCTACCCGAGGAAACACTGGACAGTTTTGTTCTGGTTGAAGCTGAGTGTTGATAAGGTTTTCTCCCCAGTGAGACCCACCACACGTGTCCTGGACCCTATTCCCACAAGGTTTTTTAAACAATTTTATGATTCTTTTACAGATGAGGATTTAACTATGATGAATTACTCCCTTCAGACGGGGGTCTTTCCTACCACTTTTAAACGGGCGGTGGTGAGGCCTCTGCTGAAGAACAACAATTTAGATTTTAACAATTTAAACAATTATCGACCGGTATCCAACTTACCATTAAGCAACATTTTAGAAAAGCTTGTTTTAATTCAACTTAATGATTTTATCGACACCCATAATGTCTTTGAAAAATTTCAGTCTGGTTTTAGGGTGAACCACAGCACCAAGACGGCCCTTCTGAGGATTTTAAATGGTTTTAGAGTAAATTATGATAAACAGAAGGTGACTGTGTTGGTTCTACTGGATCTAACCCCCAAATTCCACTACCTCCGCTCCGCTCCAGTCCGCCCCCGCCTTCCGCAGCCGCTCGCTTCCGAACTCAATTTTTACTGGTACCCGCTCTACAACGGCTCCGCTCTGGTGCGGAGACCTGAGGGGGGCAAACAAGCATGCGCGGGATTTTCGAGATCTTGCGATACAGTCCGAGCAATAAACGCGGAAGTTAGATCCAAACACCCGTTGTGTGGGAGAAGCATCGACATGAACTGTTTAATCTGCCCATCATTTGTGTTGAGAGATCAGCAGTGTTTGGATCAACAAAGTGTGACTACTTTGATAGTGGAAACTGTATTTATGGCTTACTTTTGTGCATTTAAAGTTCAGCCGCCATTGATAGTTGTTAAAAGTTGTTAAACCTGTTCATATGAAACAAAAAACGCCTTTTGTTTATCGATTTATTGTGAAAAACGGAAGTTGTGCTTGCTCCTTTTCCTGTTGGGCGGTTGTGATTTCTGTCCATTTACTGCGGAGGTGCTCCGGCGTTCGGCGAAAATAGGATCGATTCTATTTTTGCCGGACGCCGGAACAGAGGGCGGCACACTGCGCCGCACTGCCGGAGCACGGCCGCAGTAGTGGAATTGCTCTGATTGACTACAACGGGACCGATTTTGCTCCGGCGTTCGTGTCGGAGCGGAGGTAGTGGAATTTGGGGGTAAGTGCTGCCTTTGACACAGTAGACCATAATGTTCTTTTAACTCGTTTGAAAGGGATCGGCCTCTCTGGTGCTGTTCACCGATGGTTCACTTCCTACCTCACCGACAGGACTTTTATGGTGGGTTTGGATACCTGTTCCTCTATGGTCCATGGGATTGCATGTGGTGTGCCCCAGGATTCAATTTTAGGCCCAGTGCTTTTTAACCTTTATATGCGCCCTCCTGAGGCCCAGAGAGAGAAACCTTTACCAAAATTACAATCACTGTCTCTTAATCTATCTTCACAGGTGAAGAACCTGAGTGTCATCTTTCACTCTGAGCTGACTTTTATCCATCACATTAAAAATATCACCAAAATAGGTTTTTATCATCTAAAGAACATCGCCAGAGTCCGCCCCATTCTCTCTCGGGCCAATACGGAGACGCTGATGGATGCTTTTATCACCAGTAAGATAGACTACTGCAATGCCCTGCTTTCTGGTCTTCCTAAAAAGAAGATTTCAGGTCTACAACTATTACAAAACTCAGCAGCACGTGTTCTGGTGAAGACCAGGAGGTGGGAGCACATCACTCTAGTTTCAGAATCACTACATTGGCTCTCCGTTTTTTTTTTAGGATCGATTTTAAAATACTTTAAACGGTTTTTAAGTGTCCTAATGGCCTTCTTATCTTTCAGAACTGCTTATATCATATGGAGCCACAAGGTTTGCATGCACACACACACACACACACACACACACACATGCGTGTATTTATGCCCGCCTCCTCCACTCCCCTGCTCTCACAGATGGAATTTTTTCTATCAATCACACATTCAGAATAATTCATTATGTCTTGTGTGAACTCTAATGTGACTGTTTAACTTTGTCTTGTCGCTAAATCTTTGACCACATGTCTCACAGGCAAGAAGGTTTTTCTCCTGTGTGGACTCTCATGTGTCTCTCCAAGGCTTGTTTTAGGGCAAATGTTTTACCACAAAGCCCACAGAGCAAAGGTTTTCTTCCTGTGTGGACTCTCATGTGACTGTATAAAGTTGAATTTTGGCTGAATCTTTTACCACAGAGCCCACAGACAAAAGGTTTTTCTCCTGTGTGGATTCTCATGTGATAGTCTAATGCTATTTTATAGGCGAATCTTTTACCACAGAGCTCACAGGCAAAAGGTTTTTCTCCTGTGTGGATTCTCATGTGAATGCCTAATTTTGCTTTCTCTCCAAATCTTTGACCACAGAGCTCACAGACAAAAGGTTGTTCTCCTGTGTGGACTCTCATGTGCCTGTTTAAATTTCCCTTTCGACTAAATCTTCGACCACAGAGCTCACAGACAAAAGGTTTTTCTCCTGTGTGGACTCTCATGTGCACGTTGAAATCACACATTGCACTAAATCTTTTTCCACATACATCACAACTAAATGATTTTAGTTCTTTCTGGACTTTCTTGCATGAGTCTACATGTTGCTTCACTCCAACACATTTCTTTTTGACCAAACAGCTTGAAGACCTTATTGCTGAATGACCTGACACTCTGACATGTTTCTGGAGAGACCTCTTGTGGACAAATTGTTCACCACACTCAGGGCAGCTAAAGGACTTGTTGACAGTCCTAACATGTGAATCAGAAGACCTGCTTTCATTCCAGTCACTGTCTTCTTCTCCAGTTTCAGATCCAGAGTCTGACAGCTCAGAGTGTAGATTCACATCATCACCCTCTTCATCATCTCCACTCATTTTGGTTTCTGAAGAATCAGATGTCTGTTCATGAGGGTTCAGATCTTGGTTCCTGCTAGTTTCTGCTCTTCCACCAGTTTCTGCTGTCATCTGGTGAGCTGAGCTGCTGGTTGGAACTTCTTTGTCTTCTACTTGCTGCTGATGAAGCTGTGAGAACAGAGGTTTCTCTTCATCATCCTCACTCTTTATAGAAGCCAATGTGAATGGAAACCTGGCAGCATCAGTTTTCTCCTCCAAATGGAGTTGCTCTCCCTCCAGACTGGTCCAGTTTTCTTCTTGTTCCTCCTTCATGTGGATGTGTTCTGGGTCTTTCTGGTCCTCACCTGCACTCTGTTCTTCAGGAGCTTCTTCTTTAACCAGCACCAGCTGTTGAAAATCTGTAGGAAACACAGAAACATGATGTGAATTACCGGTAGGGATGGGTACCTTTGACATTTGAATCGATCCGGTACTAATTCCCGGTACCTACGAATCGATACCGGTACTTAACGGTACCAATTTTCAATACTTTTGAGTGTTTATTATTTTAATTCTCTTTTATAATTAAATATATATTTTTCACAATATATAACAATATTTGATAAATGCCACGATAAATAACATACAACTGTTTGTATTTTAACATCGTCCTTGTAATTTTAAAAGCTGATAATTAAACTGAAGTAAACATCTTTACTGTGAACTAAATTTACTGTGTATCTTCATTCCTTTGGCCGTCGTTTTTTTCATTTGATTTTTCCTACTGGGAAGTTAGAATTTCCGAGGAGAAAGCGAACGCACCATTAGCTGATAACAACGGTAGCAATGGAAGCTAACATATCAAGCTAACATTATCTTTAAGTTTATTTAACTGCTGGAGCAGATTAAAACGATGATGCCTCACACTTAGATCGTTGTCACTCATCGCATTTAGTAAAGTGAAGCCAAACTTTAGAGCGCGTTCATGATCTTCTAGTCGGAAATTCGGAGTTCCGAGGAGAAAGCGAAACCATTAGCGAAACGGAAGCTTACATATCAAGCTAACGTTATCTTAAACATTTTGTTTACCTACCGGAGCAGATTAAGGATGTCTCACTTAGATCGTTGTCGCTGGGACAGGGACCGACGACATAACGCGCATGTGCAGCTGTCTTGGTAAGTTCTCATTATGAAGGACGGGTACCAAAACGAGGCACCGTTTGAAATGACGTGAATCGGTGCTCGGTCGGTACTATGGAATTCGGTCGGTACCTTAAAAAGTACCGAATTCGGTACCCATCCCTAATTACCGGTCGATGGAACTTCACATTCACACTTACTCTCACCTAACGGATTACTAGGAACAAACTTCTCCTTAATGCAGTTATCCAATCAGCCAATCACAGGGAAGCTGCTTCAATGCACTAGTGTACGTACACCTGCTTGTATAAACAAGGTTTCTCTATAGGAGCAAGATGTGTAGGAGATGGAGGGAGCTCCAAGTACCTGAGATCCAGGAGCTGCACCAGAGCTTAGGGACCCCAGGGAGACTGTAACCAGAAAAGCCCCAGCCCCTCCTCGAGAGGTGAAGAGGATTACCCCGGGGGGCCACAACCAGCAGAGTCCAGGGAGATAACAGTGGCAAGCCCAGAGGCCGGCCCGCAGCCTCCCACCTTCAAGCTGGCTAAGCCCAGGAACCAGTGCCCCCGGACCCAGGGGCGACCAACCCCACCGGGGACCCAACAGAGGCCAGGGACGCAGATCCCTCCAGGTAGCCAATGGGATCAATCAGACAGATGCCTAAAATCTTAAGTTCCGTGAACCGGGGAGCCGCGAACACGCAGGCAGACCAAGACCCCACACTCAGCAGCAAATGTTGCATGGGGAGGGCAGGCAGCACTGGAAGACCCAAGAGAAGGGAGGAGTCCAAGATCCCACCTGACATATACAGTCATACACAAACAGTCACACACTCCCTTCCTCATGCTCACACATACACATACAACCTAAGTCAAAAGTGAACGCTAGACACCCACTCACGGTCCCCATACAAACCCTATTCACTCTGGTCCCAGTACTGGAGTTCAAAGATGGTGCTGACTGTTGTGGCACGCCGTCTGCTTCTCCTGGCTATTATGCTGACTCTTTTGTTTTTGAATCGCTTTTCGGCTGATTGTCATCCTACTTTACAATATGACCGGCATACACTCATGGATCTTTGCTTAAACCCGGGATTTCCAAGGTTTCATGATGCGACTTTTGGGCCGATTTTCGGTAGCCTGTTTGAGTTTCTGGTGGAGCTTCTTGGTACTCCTGGCCGGACGGCGCGGAAAACGTGCCTATGTCAGGGTCAGGATCAGATCCCTCCGACGGAATGGCAATGCTGGTCGGTTTGCTTGCCTGGACGTGCCTCCCTGAGATTCTCCAACTCGTTTCATCCAGATACTGCATCACCAAAGGCTGGATTGCACATATGGGAGCAGTCATACAATGCGCCGCACTGGAGGAGTAAATCCCCGTAATCTTTGTTATCCTGTGAGGTCGGGTATGTGGCGATCCTCCCCGCAGCTTTTTTTGCGGTCCCTGCAGTCTATTCGGATTGCTCTACTGAATGTCCGCTCTATTAGGAATAAAACAGCTATTCTAAAGAACTTATACATCGACAAGGAAGTGAGCTTGTTCTGCAATGACTGAAAAGTGGGTCCCGCCTGATCAGTCGGCTTCTCTGGTTGAACTCTGTCCTCCTGACTATAACATTATCATTAGCTGCGTTTATATGTGCAAAATGTCTTTAATCCGATCATTATTCGGATTAGAATATGACTGTGCACATGGGCCCTGGAAATTTAAATCCGATTATGTCAAGTTTACATTAGTCATAAATTTGATCGGAATAAACCATTTTGTCATGCGCAGATCGATCTATTACGCTGAAAAAGACCGTAGAAGAAGAAGTAGCAGACTTCCGCTGTAAACAAACATGGCTGCGTGTATGTAAAAATGGAGCACGACGATGTTTTTCGGAGCGTAATTTTATTTTTTGTCGTCACAATTTTACAAATACAAACTAAACTGTTTATAGTTTTCCAGATGTTAAATAGGGGGAGACAGCAGGATGAAAATTTCTTAATACCAAGAACCGTAACTTTAGTCCCCCCTCCTCCTGCAAAGACAAGGAGCCACTGGATGAAAGTGAGGAGTAAAGACTGGTGGGAGAGGATTGTTCTTTTGGAGTTCACCGATCAAGAGTGGAAGCAGAATTTCCGCATGTCACGTGCGTCATTCATGAAACTTTGCTCGTTAATGGAGAGTTATACGACTCCCGAGGACGTTACTGTGAGGGCTGCTGTTCCTGTCATCATGCGGATTGCAGTAGTTCTGTATAAACTGGGTAGCTGTGCAGAATACAGAGTCGTGGCGAACCAATTTGGAATAAGTAAAAGCAGCATAACGAAGTTTCTTTACATGTTCTGCAAAGGCATGGTGCAGGGTCCTATCAAACAGTTTATCCGTGCACCAGCTGAGGAAGAGGCAAAAGAGATAGCCAGACGGTTTGAAGCATCCCATCACATTCCACAAATAATGGGGCTTATCGATGGAACACACATTCCCATCCTTCCTCCTTCAGACGGCTACAAGGATTTTGTAAATCGTAAAGGATGGCCATCCTACGTACTCCAGGCTGTTGTAGATGACAAATTCAGGTAAAAATTACTACTCAATTACCTGCCATGTTCAGAAATAAATTAGTGGGGGTAGATTTTTCAGTAACCTGAGACCTCAAACTGCACCAAATTATTAGAATTACCCCTTTGTTTACAGCGAATCATGTGCACAATAAAGCAGTTTAATTTGTTTCATTTATTCCTCTCATGAAGGTTTTGGAACATCAGCTGTAAAATGCCAGGCAGTGCACATGATGCAAATGCCCTATGCCAGTCAGACCTCTTCAAAAGGGCTCATCTCCTACCCAAAGTAAGAAAACATGTTTTTGAATGGAGAGAGCCGCTTGAAATGACTGCTTGACTTGAGTTAAAAATACATCAATATGTGCTTGTAAATCACATAATAGTAAAAAATTACTTAATTCCCTTTTCTGTAACAGGGCATCAAGACCATTGGGGGGAAAGACACCAATCTTTTAATAGTTGGAGACCCTGCCTACCCACTTCTTGACTGGCTGATCAAAGGATATTCAAACTCACCTCAGCTGACTCCGGAGCAGGAGTCCTTCAACACCTTCATCAGCTCAGTCAGGGTTGGAGTGGAAATGACTTTTGGATTGTTAAAGTCAAGGTGGAGGGTTCTGCTAAAAAGAAGTGACTTTCATTTCACCTTTGCACCAACCATGATTGCCACATGCTGTGCACTGCACAACTTCTGTCAGAATGAAGATGATCAGGCCAGCAACAGCTGGTTGGAGGGGGCCTGTGATCGGCCAATTAATTTTCCTCAACCCAACCAGCCAGTTAATCTCCAGTGCAGCAGTTGTGGAAGCAGCACTAGAGAGGTGTTGACTACCTATTTGGCCACAACATTCCCACTCCGAACGGGACACCTACACTAAGTGTTTCTTGGTTCTAGATTTACCAAAAAAGTTCTAAGTTACCCATTTTAAGTTCAGAAAAATGTTTCCCTAAGTACTGAAAGGCATTATTTCCCCGGTTTGTACATATTATAGCACAAGAACAATGAAGCATTACTTTGTGCTTAAAGCACTATTTATTAATCCATTCAATTAAATGAACATTCTGCTGTACTCTTTGAACTTGACAGCTAGTGTTGTGTGAATACTCCTGAGACTCGAAATTAAACATTTTCCAAAGCATTTAAAGTTAAAAAACAAAATAAGCATATACAGTGCTTTTTCATGTGGTGAACTCTGTGGAATTTTTTTGTCATCTAGGTCACCATATCAAACAAAACATAAATATAACATGTTCTGACCTCAGAAACGTTTTTTTTTCTTCTTCACCTGAGTTATACTTCAAAAATACTGGAACATATGAAGAGTACTTTAAAGAAAAGTTTGTACTTAGCTACTATTGTTGTGAACATAAATAAAGTGCAAAAATACATCTCCAGAACATCTACTCTATATTACTCAAGTTTGCTAATGCACTGCAACTACCATGGGAAGTTGCAGAAACCAAAATGTCACAACTGAATTTTTTTAAAATAACATACTACAGAACAGAACAGAATTTCAAATTGTGAATATCATTTTAGCTCAAATCTTGTAGGGTGTAGTCAGAATTGTAATTATTACTGTAGTGTTGTGCATTTTGGCCAAACTCAGCCGACCCAACGTAGTTGCGGTAATGGTGCTGAGAGGAGCATGTAGCTACTGGTGGTGGAGGAGGTGGACGGATGATGGTTCTTAGGCCATCCAAAAGGTGGCCGACGAGTCGCTCATTTGACCGGGAACTCTCTTCAATGAACCGTGTGACAAGACGCTCCTCTCTCTGCAGTCTTCTTTCCTGATGTTCTTCAACCCACCTATTTTGGGACTCTTGCATTTTTTTCATAAATGCTTGCTGTTCAGTCGACCAAGTGCACATAGCTTTGGCATATCCAGATGAGCTTGATCTTTTTCCTAAAAGTTAAAAAGAATTATAAGTGTGTGATATAGAAGACTGAATGTAGAAAAAAAATACACTGCCACCTATACAAAAAGAAAACATAGAATTATTGAGAAAATCAAACGTGGCTTTAGTGACCCCCAAACTAAATATTTAGTTAATAAGCTAAATGATCATTTTTTCATACTTAGGTATAAACTGTGACATTTATCAATTAATGAATAACATAGTAAAAATATTACTTAGAAGAATAAACTCCCATTCATATTTCCTATAACAGTCCAAATTACCAAATAAACAAATTTACTAGTGTTAATCTGGACTGGACATTTGGCTTTATAGCCTGCCATAGTCCCTTACTCAAGCAGTTAAACATGTGTCATCTCCAACAACAAAAAGCTATTATACTTTGACCTAATTTAGTCTCTCGAGCGATAACTTACTCTTTTTAATGGATTCACTAGATGGATGAGAACTGTCTCCTCCGTTTGTGGGCATCTGTTCAGTGGCTTCTGCTGCTTCGCTGCTGGAATCATCTGAATGACAAAAACCCAAGTCTGAAATTTGATATTCTCAAAAACGTTGTATGTTTTTTAAATGTGAGGTTTACAAACTTACCACTAATGCTATCTTCAGCAGCATCAAGGCTCTGGCTCACGGGTGTGCTACATCTGTCCACCACCTCGTCCTCGAACCCAATGTCCACGCCAAATAAAGGCACATTTGACAACGGCCTCGCCGCCATGAATTCGTCTATTGCGCGGTAGAAGGGAAAACTGGAAGGGTCGAACCCGCTTCTGCTGTTGTGATTCTTGGCTTTGTAGTACGCGGTCTTCAAACTTTTCCATCGGTTTTTTATCTGTTCAACCGTTCGATCGATCCCCGCTTCCTTCAAGCGTTCATGTACTTGAATGAATAACTCAGAGTTTCTAGACTTCCTACCATCAAGTCTTTCTACAATTTTTAGTTCTTTGAGTACATCCAGCAATGCATTTGTGTCCGAAACAGACCAGTTTTGTTTCGCACCCGCCATGTTTTCCGACTTCCGTAAACGACAACGTAACGTACGTAAACGTGTGACGTTACTGACATGCGCAGTAGTCACTCGAGTGTTTTCATGCACCATGATCGGATTAACAATCGGCATAACCCAGCTGTCTCAATCGGAATGAAAAGTTGATCCGATTGAGTTTAATCGGGTCAGAGTATTCTGAATGGCTTGTTTACATGACGCATTTTAATTCCGATCAGGCTTTTATTCCGATTAAATGTGTCCATGTAAACGCAGCTACTGAGCCAAGACACTCTTGCCATAGGGGGGCTTATTATCCCTGTATTGTTCCAGTCTCCCCCTAAAACCCCTTGCTAGGCCACTGGCTCCAACCAGCTTTGAGGTTTCATTTTTTGAGCTGGGGTTTTCTCTTCCCATACTCGTACTTTGCTACAGGCCACCAAAATATAACAGTGTCTTTATAAATGAACTCTCTGATCTTTTAGTTGATTTACTCCCTAAATATGACCAGGGAATTATCCTAGGTGATTTTAATATCCACATTTGCTGTCCTCTTAAGTAGGGCTGGGCGATATGGCAAAAATAGAATATCACGATTTTTCCAATATTTTATCACGATTTCGATTTTATCACGATTTTTTAACCATGAATAGCATAACTTCAATTGCGTATTAAAGAAGAGAAACATTGAATAAATAAACATTTATTCATATTAGGGATAATCAACACAGTGCTAACACACTTATATTTTAAACTCACACCGGAGATGATAAAAGCCCTGAGAGAAACAATTACAATTAAAGCTGCAAGCAGCGTCGTTCGGCCCTCGCAGCTCCGCGCCGCTCCGGCCTGGCCAGCAGCCTGGGGCACCAGGGCACGTCCGCGGAACAGAAACGTCGACCACCCTGACACCAGAAACTGCTAACGGTCACCACGTCCGCACCTCTCCCTGACTCAGCATCCCCTCTGAGCCCACCATTATATTACACGTCTCACCACTAGGGCAGACTATCTTTACCACACTGGTGGTGTGATGACAGTGACCAAATTTAATGATATTCTGACCATGTTTTTTAAAGTTATCGAAGGTTAAAGTTCACTAGGGGGCGCTGTGACCAACTACAGAAAAGTCCCATTGAGGTCAGCTTTGGTTGACAAAAATGGTTTTCTGTTATTTTGCCATCAATCAGACGTTGTTTGTGTTATCTAAAGCCGGTGAGCTGAAAGGGGCGGAGCTACAGGGATATGAACCAACAACCCCATCAATGTGTTTGGTGCAGTCACGTGATGTCACAAGCCAAGTATAATGCCATTCTGACCTTGTCTTTAGAAGTTAATAAAGTTTGAACCCATCTAGGAGGCGCTGTGACCATTTACAACTAAATGCCATAGAGGTCATCTTTGGTCATCAAAGACGGTTTTCTGTTAATTTGGCATCAATCAAACGTTGCATGGGTCATCTAGAGACAAAAAGCTGTAAGTGGTTGGAGTTAAAGTGAATTGAACAAGTGAGCACATACATGTGTTGATTGCAGTTGTGTTATGACTGCCACCAAGTTTGATATAGTTTGGAGCTTTTTTGCAGAAGTTACAAAGGTTTTTTGTATCTAGGAGGCGCTGTCCCAGATTTAGGAATTATTCCATGAAGAAGTTTGTAGGTTGATAACAGTCATTTGTGTGCAGTTTGGTGTGAATTGCATCATGCGTGTGTTATTCAAGGCCAAGTATCTGTCAGGGAGCGGAGCTAAAGCGATATCAACCAATTACCACAGGACTGTGTTAGGTGCCTTTGTGTGATGACACATAGCAAGTTTGGTGCAGTTATGACCTTGTCTGTAAGAGTTATTACAGTTTTAAAGGTATGTAGGGGCGCTTTGGTGACAGTGTATAACATTCACCAACTGTTTGTGCCTAATTGGCTAAAGGGCATGATTGTTCATTGCCATGTTCAGTTTCGGGCAAATCGGAGGCCATTTGTGAAAGTTACAGTCAAACGTAAGGTCATGGTGTCACGCCAGCATTCGCCATGGCATCAAAGCCCCTCCCTTTCTGGAAAGCTATCAGATCTGAATAGTCATTACAGCATCATTAAGACAGTGCATGACCTTAGTGTCATGTTCACTAAATTAGACGGGACAAATATGGACATTTCAGCATAAAACAATAGACTTCCTGTATTCAGGGGGCGGGGCTTAGGTGATGTCAGATGTCCACATTGTCATTGTCTTGAGATGTGGTCAGTCATCACACAGACAAAGTTTGATATAGATCTGATCTTGCACATGGGAGTTATTAAGTCAAGAAATGTAATGGCGAAAGGTCAAAGTTTGAGGCTTAGCCACGCCCACAACTTTACACTTATTTAAAATCCGACAGTTGAATTTTTTCCCATTTGTCTTAAGAGTACATAGCAGAAGTTTGAAGGCGATTGGTGAAAAGGGTGACGGAGCATCACTCTCCAAACGTGTGCGAAAACCACTAAATCGAGTACTTGGACCAAAATGGCTGACTTCCTGTGTGACTTTGCACTTGGCTCCAAGAGACTTTTTTGTAAGGCCTGAGACACCACATTAGTGTACCAAATTTCGTAATCCTCAGTCAAAGTATGGCTTGGGGCTGACAGTTTTAATGGTCCTAGGGGGCGCTATTTCAGAAAATAGGCCACGCCCACAAACTTCAGCTGTCCAATTCTATTGGGGGTCAGACTAGGATCACTCATCAGAAATTTTGTGGCGATGTCACAATAATTGAAGAAATGAGAGGCAAACGTATTTCCATGGCGTGATGGCGAATTTCGCCATGCTCCCAAAGCCCCACCTTCTTTCAAAACCTTCCAGTACTGGAGACCAAGTGACCTCAAATTGTCTGCTGCTATTTGCCAGAGATTCCTGGTGATTGGGTAAAAGGAGTCCAATAGGGAGCTGTGAAAAAAAAGAGTGGAGTGGCGACAGGTCAAAGTTTGAGGCTTAGCCACGCCCACAACTTTATACTTATTTAAAATCCGACGGTTGAATTTTTTCCTCTATGTCTTAAGAGTAAATAGCAGAAGTTTGAAGGCGATTGGTGAAAAGGGCGACAGAGCACCACTCTCCAAACAACGTGTGTGAAAACCACTAAATCGCGTACTTGGACCAAAATGGCCGACTTCCTGTGCAACTTTGCACTGGCTCCAAGAGACTTTTTTGTAGGTCCTCGGACACCACATTAGTGTACCAAATTCTGTAATCCTCAGTCAAAGCATGGCTTGGGGCTGACAGTTTTAATGGTCCTAGGGGGCGCTATTTCAGAAAATAGGCCACGCCCACCAGATGTTCACATCAGACTTTTTGGGGGGCCGGACTAGGATCACTCCCAAGAAGTTCCGTGACGATATCTTTAGAAATGACGAAATGGGAGGCAAATGTAAGGCCACGGCGGTACGCCTGACTTCGCCGCGCCGCCACAGCCCCGCCCTCTGCCGAAAACTCCCATAAAGTGACGCAAAGCAACCCCCACTTGCCTTGAGTTACTAGCTACAAATTTGTGGTGATTAAGTTAAATGGGGCAATTTGGGACCTTTCACAGTAAAACTTGACCTTTTTGGTCCTGGGGGGGCGGGGCTTGTGTGATGTCATCATCCGACCATTCAATTTTCTTTGTGGGTGGATGACGAATGACCCCAGAAATTTGTGTAACTATGTTCCGTTCAGTTATGAAGTTATAGCAATTTATATTTTTTGGCGAGTAGTCAAACTTCAAGGCCTGGCCCCACCCCTTCAACATACACGAAAACTCAGAATCCTTGTCTCATTTTGTCCGCCCATCCCTTCGGAGCATTTTAACAAAATTTTTGAGACGATCGTTCGAAAAATGATCGAGCAATCCAATCAGAAACGGACCCTGAAAACGGCAAAAACGGCTAAAAATCGCCAAAATGGCCGACTTCCTGTTTGATATTGACCATGGTTGCAAGAGACTTTTCTGTGCGGACTGTTGAGTACTACAAGTGTACCAAATTTCATAACTGTACGATAAACTAAGCTTTAAACTAAGCTTTATGGAGAGGGGTATTTTTCACCTTCTAGGGGGCGCTGTTCAGCCATTTTCTTTGCGATTTTTTTGTGACCTTTAAAATATCAAATTTTTCACCAGGCCTGACAAGTTTGCAAAATATTGTGAGTTTTGGGGTATGTTAAGGTCCCCAAAAAGCTGTTCAAAGGGGCACGAGAATAATAAAAAAGAAAAAGAAAGAACAGAGCAAACAAAAACAGCAGCGCTTTCGGTGCTCAGGCCTAAAAATCTGTTTTTCTCGTTTTTCAAGTAACTTAACATAAATTAAAATCATAAACATATTTAAAGTGTAGACATGTCAATTGCAAACGTATTGTGCAAACATTAACTTGTTCAAAATACTATGTAGCTCCCAGTTGCTCATGTAGTGGATAGTTAAGCTCAAATACGGCTCTGATGTGCGACTGGACCAGAGATCGCTTGTGGTAGCAAAAAACTGCGCATTCTGAATATTTTCTGCAACAAGTCTCTAAATAAAGTAAAAATTTTCCAGTGCAGATTGGAGACAACCCATAGAAGCACTGATTTGATCTAATTTCAGAGAAAAATAGAACAGGTTAGATGCACCTAATAAATAAAATTACTAACAAACTCAGGAATCTTTCTTTGCTTCACTGTTTTGGTGCTGAGAATATCACTAATGCGGATCAAAGGAGATACTCAGATGAATGCACCTCTTATTTATTATTTGGAGACTACATTTACTGCAGCTGGCAGAGGCAGAGATTGTTTCTATTGATACACGGAGTTTACAGAATCATTTTAAATGTTAATAGGGGAAGACTGCAGGAGGGAGCGGTAAAATACAGGGGGTCCCCAGCAAAAACAAGAAACTTTACGAGTCTGATGAAACCCGCTGGTTTTCCATCAGGCAGTCACGGGGCAGCTCCAACGACCCAGTGACCGAGCTCGGTCCGGCTCGGCAGAGAGGGTGAGCAAGCCGAGGCGACGTCGTGCTCTGCTTAAGAAGTGTTATTTTCCTGCTTCAGAAGAAGCGTCCAACGTGTTTTTACACTTTCTCTGAGACATGTCACGTCGCTAAGTTGTTAGCGCCGCGCGCTAAGGAAACCCTGCGTTCCTCTTCGGAACGAAAACCTCGTTGTCGCTCTCAGCCGTGGCCGAAGCCATGTTTGTTCACACACAGGTGAAAACAAGCGGGGCACTAATATATTACTATGACTCACTCTGATTGGTTAAGGGTCAAACAAAGGCGTGTCATTCGCCTGAGGTAAGTTCCATTTTCATTCAGAGGCAGAAACTCAACAGCAGAGCTGTGAATCGTGATAAAAAGGTCTCTCAAAAATGAGACCGTCAGATGTGTAGATCGTAAAACGGTCTAAAATCGTCATATCGCCCAGCCCTACTCTGAAGCAATTGGTGAAAGATTTTGTTGACATCTTGGACGCATTTGGATTACAACAATTGGTTAATGTCACCACACACACACTGACTCTTACACCCTGGATTTGGCTTTATCTTTTGAACCAGATGTGATTGACCTGTCTGTGGACTCTGCAGCATTTTCTGACCATGCTGCAATTTTATTCAATATCTCACGTCTTCTTCCTCCAGCCCAGAGACAGGCTGCTCGTTACTCTAGGTGCTTATCTCTAAATACGACCTCAAATTTTCTTTCTCTCCTGGATATTGATCCTCTCACAATACCCCGTTCAGTTTCCTGCATGGATGTAGATGGCCTTTTGCATTTGTTCAACGAGACCTGCTCTGCTAACCTGGATGCTGTTGTAACGATGGGTAGTTTACATCTTACTTATGAACCATAAAATGTGAGATTCCATAGAAATATGAAATATCAATCAGATGGAAATTTATTTCTACACAATTTAAACAAGACTAACTTTTAACACTCTGTGTACTGATGAACTAGGTGGAATGAGACGTGAGACGAATGATGTATGTGTGGAATGTTGTTATCAGAACCTCGTATCCGGAGAAGCATTTAGTTCTGAGTGGAATGAATGTTTCTCTCTAAACTTCAGTTGGAGATTTAGAACACACATTAAACTCCATCTGTCGGTCTACGTACCCCAGGGGAAGCCTCCATTTAGATCCAGAGTGTCGAGGTCCGTGGACCCTCCTTTTTACCAAAGCCGGTAGAAAAGCAGCGGCTCCGATTAGGCTAGCCTCGGAATGCTTCCAGGTCACGACAGGTTATTATTGGCTTCAGTGAGACCCTGAAGGGGTCGTGAGGTTCAGCTTTTATTCTGAAGGAACCATTGCGGTCAGGTGTAACGTGCAACAGATTTTATCCAGCTTGTTGAGCAAGGTTCTTTCGGCTGAAGAGGTGTTCGGATGGCTTGTCCGAACTTCTCTAGAACGCTTTGAACTGAAGTTAAGGTGACGTGGAATAGTTTTTATAATTAGGGCTGCAACAAACGATTATTTGGATAATCGATGAATCGGATGGGGTCTCGACACGATTAATCGGATTACATGGGGAAATTTTTAAAAACTGCTAGGGAAACGTTATTTCTCTCCTTCCTTCACTTTATTTAACACAACATTATTAGAAAACAGTTCAATAGCAGAAAAACAACATGCCATCACCTAAATTGTCTTATAAGGTGTATAGACAGAGACCCTAAGCTACATCTATCTGTGACCTACAATGCTTGGTCCAAGTTAAACAGCTTAAGGGCAATTCTCATCTGTTTTGTTTGATCTCATCTGTTGACTTTTATTATAACTGGGGATGTCAAACAACTAATTTTTAAATGTAATTAAACATAGGCTGTGAATTAATCAAAATGTATCACTATTTCCAAAAATGACTGAAAAAATACCAAATAAAACAAAAGTAAATGAATGCCATCCTCCTTGTGATGATGCCCTGGGCAACTGCCATAAAGTCACATCAAGAAATGCTGCTGATCATTCCAATGATCCCAAATAGACTCACATTAGGCCACATGAAAGCAACTGAACCCAAAAATATATTAACCAGTATATAACTGCACTCTCACACAACACGCCTGCAGCAACAGTTAGGACTCCTCCCTCCCTTTTAAAAGCGTTTTTGCTTCCGAGGACATTGTGGTTGTAAAACCACATGCTAGTAGTCTGGCCCCAGTGTGATCAACCAGTTTCTGCGGGAATGTGACGGCGGAACCAGGGCCAGATTAACACTTTGTTGTACCCTGGGCAACAATATTCAAGGGCTCCATCATCACGACCCGAGGATCACCATAATGTGGTCACATACAGAATATTTTACTGTAATATGCAGTAAATATACTCAATACTTGAATGCCTGACAACACGTAACCTGCCCAGAGTAACCTTTGACCCACCTCGTGTGGACTGACCAATGAGGAGAGGGTCTTAACTTGAGGCCCTCTCTTCATTGGTCAGTCTGCATGAGACTGACTCTCAACTGACGTTCAGTCATAGGCAGCGAAGTGTCTCTGTGCAGCGCAAAAGCCCGGGTGGACAGTTTGTTTAATGTAGGGTGACCATATTTCCATTTCCAAACAAGAGGACAGGGGATCTGTGCCTATGACGTCACACTATGGCAACACCACACAAACCATGTTGGGACCCATTTTTTGTAAGAACTAAATTAATATCAGATTCTGCCAATTAAAGGGCTCTAAAACAATTAATATGTAAATATTTTGCATATTTAATGCAAAATCTCATTTTTCTGCTTTAGTGCTGCAACAAGGTTTTATTAATAATAAATTATTATCTCTTTTGTTTTACTACAGCATCGGTAAGCTTCCTGTGCACAGATTATTAAGGATGCTTGTTTCAGCTGTGAGATTAGACGATAGGATCAATGAAAAAATAAGTTGTCACACACTCCATGGAAACTTTCAGAGAATCCACAAATAGTGGCTTTCAAATAGTTTTGTTACTTTTTGCAAGTTTAGAAAAGCAGCAGATGAGACAGCATGTCTGATAATTTAGTTTTTCATCTGATAATATTAGAACATGTCAGTAATGTCTGAGGGGCTTTTACAAACACCGTATAACTAATACTCCTGGAGAGGGTATGAATTACAGCGAGGCTTCTGGGGAGCCCAGTTATGGGGGGGTGGGGGGTGGGGGGGCATTTTGCCTTGGCCCCCAAAATGTCTTGAAACGGCCCTGGGTGTGTGACTGAGTTTTGAAGGTGATCTGAATTGTATCAGATGTATAAATATGACATGTGTATAACTTATTTTTTTTACTGGTAAAAACGTGTAGTGGAGATAAATCTATCTACATTTTACTTTTCAACACTTTGTTTTGTTTTCTTGTTTTTATTTAACTATTTTCCTGTCCTGTCTGTCTCTCATCTTCCTGCATCTCCTCTTAATTCTCCAGAAAATCTGTTGCCTGGATTCTTACCTTTTCACCTCAGCAATTACTTTTGAGCAGATCAAAGGGATCTCCTGACCGCAAAGCGCAGAGCGCATTTTCGATGCTGTGTGAGGTGACATCACCACAGCACAGGTGATGAGCTCCGCAGTAGCGCGCTTCAGGTACAAATAAGACAGAAAATAGAGAACCTGTGCAGACATGAACGATCGTGTGCTAATTATAGTTTTTTGGTTGCGCCACTTTGAGAATGGACCGTGCGCCAGAAGCAGCAGCCTGGATCGCTGCGCAACAACGCGCTGTGCCGCTCTCTGCTCAAAAGAGTCCAAAAACGATATAATATAGAAAACTTTTTTCCGGCTCCCCTGATGTGTAGGATATACAGCTCCCCCATAATTCGATCCCTGCTCCTGGATGAAAAGCCAGACATTTTCATCAATACAAGAACCCGCAGTCCGGACGCCCGGACAGAGTGAAAAGTGGACATGTCCGGGGAAAACGGAACGTACGGTCACCATAGTCCTCATAAAGCGGGAAATTATAGATACAGTATTGTGCTCGTGCCCTGGGCCCTTTAGAGTTGGTGGGCCCTGGGTAATTGCCCAGTTAATCCGGCCTTGGGCGGAACCGGTTCGCAGCAGCGCGAACCTTGCGCTGATCTGCCGGCTCTCCCTCGCGCTGATCTGACTTGCTCTGCGCGCAACTGCGGGCGGGAAGGGGGGGCGCTTTTGGAAAAGTTGTGCGACACAACGAATCGATGACGCAATTCGTTGCCAATGCTTTTAGTAATCGATTTTCATCGAATTTATCGATTCGTTGTAGCAGCCCTATTTATAATTGTCATATTTTGGTTTACTGGCAAATCAGAATTTCACATGCTAAAGAGGGCTTATACAAACACCACAGAAAACTACGCCTCGCGTCAGAAACGAAGGTTCTGATTGGATCAGACAAAAGGAAATGTGTCGTTTGACTTTAGATTACTCTGTGTCATCACGTGTCTAGTGCAGCTGTCCAAGATTATAATTACTTATAAAATACTACTGATCACAGAATTATAATATCAAGCAGGCAAAGATTGTATTGACAATAAAATACATGGAAGTTTATATGAATTGAACATAAGTTGGAGAAGAAGAATTGAACTGTGGGAGAATGATTAAGGACACAATGTCACTTATCCACATTAATAGTAGAAGCATATTTCCTAAAGTATTAATTATCAAAGATTATTTAAATAAATTCAAAAACAAATTTAGTGTGATTGCTATAACAGAGACTTGGCTCAAAGATGATATGATGGATGAAGTACAAATGGAAGGGTATGAACTTTATTTTGTAAATAGAAAAAATATAAGAGGTGGCAAACTAATGCATTAGAAAACCGGCCTCTCAAATAAAGTGTGTGCCACTCCGGCACAGTAGGTGGTGACATGCCCCTTTTCATTTTGGGATTCTTCCAGATAGCTTATAGCAACGCAAGCAGTAAACAGAGGCTGGCGGCAGTGAAGCAGATGGAATTGGCACAAGATCTGCAGAATGGCTGAAGGAATATACAACAACGCTGCAGCACAGCTTACTTGGTACGTACTGTCCTGTTTTATGGTGTTACGTGTGTCTGTTTGTTTGTGACGATGGTCCTTGCAGAAGACCACCTCAGCGGTTTCGTCACTTCTGGAATGCGAGCGTCTAACCTGTATTAGCTTGTTGGACGCGTTTACATGCAGAGTGTAATCGGATTGCTACCGCATTATCTGGGTGCTTCAGCTCGATTAGAAAGAGTTTGCTTTCAGACAGACTAACGTGTTTACATGCATTAAAAATAAACTGATGTGACTTTTTAGGGCAATGCTTTGGTTTTCTGGTGGACATGTAAACACACTGAGATAAAGAGCTAAATAAGACTATGGGACATTAAAGTGACTATGAGGAAGTTTAACAACAACATGTATAGAAATGTAAATTTCTTCCTCATACATTCTCCTGCTATGCCCTAGACCTGAAGAACGATCCCTGGCATTTTTACTGTGATTGCCTCTCTATTCCTGTAAAATCACAGAAAAAGAGCATGTTCAAGTCAAACATGCTGCTGCAGATTCCTGCTTCTACTAGAGACAGCGCAGGCCTCAACCTGCAGTCTCTGGGTCTGCAGCCGTCAGGCACTTTGGCCTTTCCTGCATTTGGCAAATACAGTCAGCGGGAGATTGAACTACAGTCCCGTTTAACTGGTTAACTATGTACATCCGTACTGTAAAGGCATCAATAAAACACAGGAGGACTGATTAATGTGCATAGTAAATGATATTAAATGTCGGCCCCCTAATCAGAAGGTTGCCGATTCGAGCCCCACTCAGACTGTTGTAGTTGTTGTGCCCATGGGCAAGACTTCACCCACTTTCCCTGTTGGTTGTGGGGTTAGATCACTACAAGGCTTTATTCAAATACAAGCCATTATTTTAGATTCCATGTCATAGCTGAAATACACTTTTGTGTCCCACCACACAGAGACAGTAAAGTCATTCATTCAGTACCTGTGTCCATGCTGTCCAGATCCCTCGATGAATCAGTCCCAGCTGATGGATGATCCTGAAGTGGTAGCAGGTTTTCTTTAGCCGTGTTTAGCTAACAGCTGCAATAGAGACAAAGCAGGAGAGCTGATTAAGATGCTGCTTCAGAACAACCAGGGGTGGACCTTTAAAGCGCCCGAGCGCCAATGGCGCTAAATTTTCTCGTTGGGCGGTAAATACTTGACGACTTACCGCCCGGGTGGCGCCCAAGCCTTACTTGTCATTTACACACCGGCTTTCACCTGCATCATGGCCCCGCCCTGTAGGAAGCCGCCGTTTTCGTTTTGCGTGCGTGAACCTGCACGCCTCTAGCCACGTACTGCACTTGTACGATTCGTGCACGTACTGCACGATTCTAGTTATAGTCACGTGAACTATAAGTTCACTATTAAAGACGAAGTGGAACGACGCTAGAAACACACAAGCACGCAGGAAGATCGCGCCACCACAGGGATGGGCTTTCTTGATGAAATCTCCGGCAAAACGCTTTAAAACTGGTGAGGAGAAGCGAGACAGTTCGAAACGGTATGAATCAGAGAAGCGTGTGCGTAGGTGGAATGATTCTTGGCGGTCTAAAGAAGACGGGAGGCGCAGAGAATGGCCGTGTCCGAGTTGAGCAGCGCCTCGCCTGGAAAACAGACGAGAGCAGACGGAAGCAGCAGACGGAGTGGCTGAAAGCCAGCGTTTACGCCGGGGACACACCGGCCGCGGAAGCGCCGAGAAGTGAATCGCTCACGAAATCCGGCCGCTGCTGCTCAGTTCAGATCAGACGCGCCCTAGTCGAGGCGCGCCTCGGCTCAGCTGTAGTTTTTCTTTTAACTGCTTGGTGTCCTCCATTTCCTCTCTGCCTTTTCTTAGCTCTTTTCCTCTGTGCGCGCGCGCGCGAGAGAGAGAGAGAGAGAGAAAACCTATGGTGTGAACCAGTTGTTTCTGCCAGTTGAATCTTGGACTTCCCTACATGTGTAGCTCGGGGGTGACGGTGGCTGAAGATATTGCGTTAGCGTTCACACTTGTTAAATTTTCAATTTTAATTCTGGTGCCTGTTAGCAGCTGAAACCCATCCTCACGTGCTTGTGGATATCATATATTCTATATGAAAACATGACTGTAATAATAAGTAAAGGTTATCAGCTGTAGCTTCAGTGTGCTCATAGGAAACGTGACAAAAGAAAACAAAACACATTTCTCTTTATGGCCTAAATTGTTGTCATCATCAACATAACATGATTTACAGAATACATGTGAACAACTAACATTTCATGTTCTACCACCGGATGTTTGGATCAAAATATGAACCAATCAGATCTTAGATCAGGTGAGAGCCAGGTGTTTCCCGTCATCCTCTAGGTTTTGCAGCCGAGGGAGAGCAACTGCAGCGCCTTGCTCCAAAATCTGCGGCCGCCTTGATCTCACAAGGTTATCGTTGCCTACATATGCATGACGTCAGAGCAAGTCGGCGTCAATTCGGACATAAATCTAACCGGCATGCGCTGCTCGCCGATCAATGCTGGTCAAATCTGCGCAGAACTGGCTCATCTGGAACACAGCCAATGGCTCGAGTACAGCAAAGCGGAGTTGGTGATGTACTGCGTTGTATGCCGGAAGTATGCGACGACAAAATCGTGTTTTGTTGAGGGAACAAACAAATTCAAACTTGAATACGTTATTATGTTTGTGAATGTGTACAAAATGAAGGTTTATTACATTTAAAACGGTTCAATTGTTATTTTGACTCGTTTTGGCAGCTGACCAGCGGGGCCAGTAGATTCTTGGCGGGGCCGGTAAATATTCAGAGTTACCGGCCCGGCTGGCCAGTTGGTTTTGAAGTTAATGTCCACCCCTCACAATGCAGGAGATTAAAGATCCAACGCCTTGGTTCTGATCAGCTGAGGACAGATCCTGTCTGGAAAAGAGGACCTTTGGTCACCAGAGTTCATGGAGTAGAGCTAACCTCTTTTTCCTCCAGATTCACAGTGGTTGCCTTACATAGGCTCAGCTGCTACGTTGCACCAAGGCTGAAATTCCAGCGCCATGGCTACATCCCCCCCACCCTATTGAAGAACGAAAGCAAAGCAGTCTGACCAGGAGAAAGCGTTCTACCCTTTTCTGACTCAAGACGATGGTCTCAGATTTAGAGGAGCATATTCTCATTCCATTCAAAGATACTTTATTAATCCCAGAGGGAAATTAAGAGTTTCAGTACACACAATTCAGAGATCAGACATACATAGGCAAAGACACATGACAAGAATTGGTGACTGGTCATTCGCAACCCTGAGTTGCGCTACCGTAATAGAGATCAGAGGGTTACATGAGGATTGATTCAGGTGGAGGAAAAAAAGGCACTTCAGAGTTACCCTCCACAGGGAGGGCAGCTTTGCTATGCAAAAAACACCTCAGACAGAAATGCAACAGGCTTCAGACATCACAACATACAGGTGCTGGCCAGTAAATTAGAATATCATCAAAAGGTTGAAAATATTTCAGTAATTCCATTCAAAACGTGAAACTTGTACATTATATTCATGCAATGCACACAGACCAATGTATTTCCAATGTTCATTACATTTAAATTTGATATTCATAAGTGACAACTAATGAAAACTCCAAATTTGGTATCTCAAAAAATTAGAATATTCTGAAAAGGCTGAATATAGAAGACACCTGCTGCCACTCTAATCAGCTGATTTACTCAAAACACCTGCAAAGGCCTTTAAAAGGTCCCTCAGTCTTGTTTTGAAGGCACCACAATCATGGGGAAGACTTCTGACTTAACAGCTGTCCAAAAGACAATCATTGACACCTTGCACAAGGAGGGCAAGACACAAAAGGTGATTGCTAAAGAAGCTGGCTGTTCGCAGAGCTCTGTGTCCAAGCACATTAACAGACAGGCGAAGGGACGGAAAAAATGTGGTAGAAAAAAGTGTACAAGCTCTAGGGATAACCGCACCCTGCAGAGAATTGTGACGACAAACCCATTCAAAAATGTGGGGGAGATCCACAAAGAGTGGACTGCAGCTGGAGTCAGCGCTTCAAGAACCACCACGAGGAGACTCATGAAAGACATGGGATTCAGGTGTCGCATTCCGTGTGTCAAGCCACTCTTGAACATGAAACAGCGCAAGAAGCGTCTCGCCTGGGCCAAGGACAAAAAGGACTGGACTGATGCTGAGTGGTCCAAAGTTATGTTTTCTGATGAAAGCAAGTTCTGCATTTCCTTTGGAAATCAAGGACCCAGAGTCTGGAGGAAGAGCGGAGAAGCACAGAATCCACGTTGCATGAGGTCCAGTGTAAAGTTTCCACCGTCAGTGATGGTGTGGGGTGCCATGTCATCTGCCGGTGTTGGCCCACTCTGTTTCCTGAGGTCCAGGGTCAATGCAGCCGTCTACCAGGAAGTTTTAGAGCACTTCATGCTTCCTGCTGCTGACCAACTTTATGGGGATGCAGACTTCACCTTTCAACAGGACTTGGCACCTGCACACAGTGCCAAAACCACCAGCACCTGGTTCAAGGACCATGGTATCCCTGTCCTTGATTGGCCAGCAAACTCGCCTGACCTTAACCCCATAGAAAATCTATGGGGTATTGTGAAGCGGAGGATGCAATACGCTAGACCCAACAATGCAGAGGAGCTGAAGACGACTATCAGAGCAACCTGGGCTCTCATAACACCTGAGCAGTGCCACAGACTGATCGAGTCCATGCCACGCCGCATTACTGCAGTTATTGAGGCAAAAGGAGCCCCGACTAAGTATTGAGTGCTATACATGCACATTCTTTTCATGTTCATTCTTTTCAGTTGGCCAACATTAGAGAAACAAACATTTTTTCATTGGCCTTTAGAATATTCTAATTTTCTGAGATACCAGATTTGATGTTTTCATTGGTTGTCACCTATAAATATCAAAATTAAACGTAATAAACATCGGAAATACATTGGTCTGTGTGCATTGCATGAATATAATGTACAAGTTTCACGTTTTGAATGGAATTACTGAAATATTTTCAACCTTTTGATGATATTCTAATTTACTGGCCAGCACCTGTAAGTGTTCACTAGGTGGGGTGGTGGGTTTGGGACTCTCCACACGTCAGTGACTGCAGCCACGATAAGCAGCGCACGTCACCTCAGTCTGGACAGGGGAGGGAGGTCGTTGGGGTTTGGAGGGCACAGTGACTCCTGGAACGATTCAGCGGCGTTCACAGCCCGCAGTCCCGCCCAGGCTGGGATAGGGAGACAGAGTTGCCATGGCGACGGCAGCATTCCACATTTCTTCTGAGGGGGAGGGTACCGGTATTCGTTGCAGCCTTACAGGCTCAAGGGCACCAGATTCAGATTGGAAATTGTTTTGGGGCCAGACAGAGATAATTTCCTCTCCGTCTTAAAGTCCCGTTGATCCCCAACCTCTCAAAATCTCAATAATGGCGTAAAGTAATCTATCCCAATCCGTGCCGATTCGTCCACTCGCTCCTTGATGGCATCCATCTTTTGTGCCAACACATGAATCTCAGCCAAAGTTCCAAGCTTACGACTCATCTCAACAATTATATGAGTCTTTGAATTCACAACGCGGTGTAATCCATCCCTGAGCTCCGGGAAAGAGCCAATATTCCTCGACAGCTCGTTAATTTTCTGGTAAGTCAGGAAGCCTCCTAGGCCAAAGAGCAGGAAACCTGACACCAACACCAAGAATATCCAGACGTCTTCAGAATCCTCTACAGACAGCTGAGATAGGCAAATCAGGTTCCACTGTTTCTAGGAGTCCATGATATGCCCAGCTGGCTCTGTCCCAGAGGGGCACCTGGGAGCCCCTTCTCCAGTTCTCATCGTTGAGAAAATTTTGTCAATCACGTTGTGACCAACTGACCAGGTTCATTTTAGTAATTTCAGTTTCCAGAAAAAATGCAGAAGCAGCTGTACACCCAGAGACAGACAAAGAACCTTGGGATAAGATAGGGAGGAGAGGAGGAAAAAATGCGTCCGTACTCTCCAAGAGCCGGGAGAAGAAGCCGCTTCACGCTCGGCTGTAGGGCTGCAGCTATCGAATATTTTTGTAATAGA